CCGGCAAGGTTACTGTTCATGGCGGCAAGCTTTCCCTGGCAAGGTTACTGTTCACGGCGGCAAGCTTTCCCCGGTAAGGTTACTGTTCACGGCGGCAAGCTTTCCCCGGCAAGGTTTTTTAGGCAGCAAACGACCTCGGATGAAAATGTGTCCAAAAGCAAAGTTGACCGTTTTGACGAGACAAAAAACTTTCGTGTTGAACGTTTTCCGACTCGAGGCCATCTTCTGGGCCAAAACACTCACGCATTACATCAGACACTTGCCAAGACATGTCTGGTCTTCCGCGTCATATTTCGCCTCTTGACAGGGCTGCATCCAGATAGCTCTAACTTTTGCATACGAACTCGGATTGAGATGATTTTTATATCAAAATCGACCGATTCGACGAGACGAAGACAATGCATGTAGAGCACTCCCTCATCCGAGATTGTCCTGGAGGCGTACTTGACCAAAAAGCACTCAGAACACCTAAACATGACAATCTGAGTGTAGTTTTGGTCTTTGATATGATGCCGAATGATTATGGTCCAAACATCAAAGTTGTTCCACTCGGCAATGTGAAATTTCTCATTTAGAATATTTTGTCATTTGAGGCCATCTCCATTGCATTCTGCATTGTGCCAAAATCAGGTGTCAACACAGGCCCCCCTGTTTTTCGGCAAAGCTTGCATGCCGAAAAATAATTTGCACCATGTTTGTTCTAAGGACGATGTCAACACTCCATCGGCCATCTATTCTTCTCGGGGCGATAATTATGTATCGGCCATGTTTGTGCTAAGGGCGATAATCGTATATCGGCCATTGCCTACTTAGGCTTCCTGCCACACACTCGGGTGGTACTTCTTCAAATATTTGCCATTGAGAGCTCGAGGTAAAAATGCCCCTTGTATTGATTCCACCAAATATGAATTTCCGGGAACAACTCTTGTAATCCTAAAAGGACCTTCCCAACTTGGAGACCACTTCCCGAATTTTCTATCTCTTGAACCAATCGGTAGAATCACTTTCCAGACGAGATCACCAACTTGAAAATTCTTCAACTTGACTTTCTTATTGTAAGCCCTTGCCACCCTCAACTTATCTCTCTCTATGGCATTCAAAGCAGCCAAACGTTTATCAGCAACCTCATCAATGTTGTCCATCATCAAGTTATAGAAGTCTATTGCCGATAAATCATTTTGCTTGGCTATTCTCAAAGCATTCAAATTTACTTCCACTGGTAAAACAGCCTGCTGACCATATATTAGCTCATATGGAGTCACTTTCGTAGCACCATGCCTTGAGATTCTATGTGCCCATAATGCCTCAGACAACAAGTCATACCATCTCCTTGGATTATCCTCAATCTTCTTTTTGATGAGCTTGATTAAAATTTTATTGCTAGACTCAGCTTGTCCATTAGCTTGGGCATAATATGGGGAGGAATTGAGCAACTTTATGTTATAAGATTCGGCAAACTCTCTGACTTGGTGTGACATAAAAGATGAACCTTGATCTGTAGTTAACGTTTGAGGAATACCGAATCTATGAATAATGTGCTCGGTTATGAATTTAATTACCTCCGTATGCGTCATGTTCTTGAGAGGTACTGCTTCAGACCACTTAGTGAAATAATCAGTTGCCACCAATACGAACCGATGCCCCTTTGAAGAAGACGGATGGATTTGCCCAATAAAGTCTAAACCCCATCCTCTGAAAGGCCATGGCTTGATAATAGGATGCAACATAGCAGCGGGAGCCAATTGAATATCACCAAATTTTTAACAAGCTTCGCACCCTTTATAATATCTGAAGCAATCATTAATCATGGTCGGCCAATAAAACCCAGCACGTCGTAATAACCATTTCATCTTGGGAGCCGACTGGTGAGTACCACAAA